AGTAGAAGGCACCCATCCTAACCAGGGCATGTTTCGGGGGGGCAGCTGGATCATCTGGAGAAGAGGCATGCGTGCTGGAGGGGTTAGGTGGTGAAATACTCTAATACTCTGCCTCACAAGCCATGGGGCTCCGCGGAAGCCTTGCCCTCTTCTTGGGACAGACTGAAAGCAGAGCATTGGCGGGAGGCGGCTGCCCTCTGGTGGCAGCAAAGGCAAACCACATCCAGCATCTAGAGCCCACCAGCAAGAGCCCTGAGGGTTGGGGCCAGAGCTTAAGCAGGCCTGGTGAGTCCAGATCCCTGCTCAGCCTCATACTACTGTCCACAGCCCAAGCGTTCTTCAGGGAGTCCTATGGTCTTGGCTTGGCCGCCAGCTCTTCCCGCTTGTCTTTGTCTCTGGCGATTCCCCCACACACATCGCCCTCCTTCCCCCTGCATCTTGAGGGTTCCTCACCAACTCCTTTGTATCCTTTCTCCCCATTCCCCAATTCTGAACATCTGCTCCCTTTCCCGGGCGCACATCTCAGAGGCCTGCCTTCCCATGTCTCCCTTCCTCCGCTTTTATCCTGCCTTCATCTTGTTTCCATGCCCCTGCCTCTCACCTAGTGCCACTCTGTACCCCTATACCCATCTGTCCTTAGTAGTTGGCAGCCAGAGAGCCCTTATTACACCCCTGCATGGTGGGCCCTTCAGTTTCCTGCAGCAGAGGCCAGGAGAGTCCATTTCTCCAGCTTGCTCTGCTGCTGTCCCCTTCCCCCGCACCCACACCTCCAGTCTCTCCCCTCAACTCCTAGGCTTGGAAGCCCCTCCCTCCAGGTACCACCATCATCCTAAGAGAAGCTTGAAGCTTGGGTCATCACTGCCTCCAGGAAGCCCTCCAGGCTTACTAAGCTGTGAATAGGCCTTCTAGAGGCCCCTTCTTCCACAGACAAGGAAGTGTCTGCCACCCCCTCAGTGTAGAGGTGACCACTGTGGGCAGGGACAGTCTAGTTTAACTCTGCTCAAGGCTCTGTGTGACTCAGAACTGTACAAAGTGGCACTCGGTGAGCCTTGACCACCAAGGGGGCTATTGTGATGCTTCGGGCACAGGCTTTGTGACAGTCTCTGGAGCACACTATTTCCAGCCTCAGTTTCCCCATCTGTATAGTGATGATACAAGGCCCCTTCTGACTACACAATTGGTGGCAGCCAGATATGCGCTGGGTCCCCAATGGGTGATGTGCTTCCCACTTTAGCATAAGCTCTGACCGTAGTCTCAGTATCTCTCTTGGGCTCAGAGAGTCCCCGCCCTCCTCCTCAGTGGGAATGAACCTCGGTCCAGGAAACTGGGTCTCATCATATAAGAAAGCCATTCTGGAGTTTGTTTTGAAGCACCTTAAAGTGGTTCCCTCGAGTTACTATCTCCAGGCACCCTAGTGCCAGGACCAGGGCTAACCTTCCTATTAGCTCTCATATCACAGTTGTTCTTGGGGGTTGACTTTGTATCCACAGATGAGGGCACTGAAGCCTAAGGTTGGACACCCCACTTTCTGAGCCCACAGGGTGCTATGGATGTGGTAAAGCCCACAAATACTCCTGGGGAAACTGAAACCTGACACTCTGATATTTCTCACTCTGGCAGGCTCCGAGGGTCGGGTGGAGGGGGCCAGTGGGCGAGGAGGGTGCGAAGGGTACTCAGGGTCAGGCACAGTGGCATTTGAGTCAGGGACCCTGAGGTCTCACTGTCCCTCCCCCAGGAGGTAACTAGAGAGCAAGATCATAAAGAGAATCTGGAGCAGGGTGTCCTGTGTGTTTTCAAGGCCGGAACATGATGTAGAATATGGCCCTGAGGGTAACCCGGCTGCAGGCTGTGGCCGGAGGTCAGGGCTGCTAACTTGAACCTTGTGGTCTGCCAGCCCAGCTGTGCTGCCAAGGTCCCCACTTGGCCATGCAAATGAGGGCAGCTGAGATTCCCACAGAAACAGAGCCCTGGCTGGAGTAGAGAGACTGAGCCAGAGGCCACACTGTCTCCCTATGGAGGCCTGACTCCCAGGGAACAGGCAGGGCTAGGCTAAGAGTCTGGGAGGAAGATGGGGCTAATCACCAGGGATGGAGTCCCCAGGACCCCCTGACCCTCCCCTAGAAGGACCTGATGGCCGAGACAGGGGCCACCTCACCGGAAGCCAACCTCTCCCTCTGTCCTTTCCTTTGTTCCTATGGTCTCTGTTTCCTTCACCTATGGGGGAGGGCAAAAATAAAAGATCAATACTTACTTCCCCCACATCCCAGAACTGCGGAGTTGGAGAACAGTGAGATCTGAAGAACAATAATCCCCTGAATGAGAAGTTGGCTGCCCAGATCCTGTAAGATGGGCCGAGGGGCTGCAACCTTTCCCCCAGAATTCCTTCGGTGTGCATACTCCCATCTCATCCCAGTTAAGTTTGTGTTAACTCCCCACATGATCCCTTCATTTCACAATAGAATGTGGCCTTCTCTGTGTACCAGGACAACTAATTCTAGGACACTCCATGCAACCAGACACAAGAGAAGCCATAGTATAAGACCACAAACTGTTGAATGGAGTATCCTTGAACATGGACCTAGGAATGTGCATGTGTTGAGGCGATAACCTTAGAAACCTGTAACCGCACTGGGGCTGCTGTAATCAGAGCAGCGTTAGAAGAGGTTGAAGTAGCTAGGGAAGGACAGGAGATGATCCCCTCTTTTGAAATATCAGAGACTTCCTCCAGTCAAGCCCTGGGCCCTAGACCCAGTCAGTCTTGGGATGTACCATAAACCACTCAGCAGAGGGGGAGCCAGCAGGCCCACGGTAGGAAGAAAGAAAAGGGAAGGATCTGTTGAGTGGAACAGCCACTGAAGCAGAAAGGAGACAGACTGAGAATAGTGCCCTCCCCCCGACACACACACACACACACACACACACACACACACACACACACACACACCTGCACAGCCCATCCTGAGCTCCCAGCAACTACTGGGCACCCAGGAGATCCCAAATTCCACACATGTCCCTGGCTCCAAAGTAAGTATGTGCATGAGTGTGCATGTGTGCGTGTTTGTGTGTCTGTGTGTCTGTGTGTGCACGCGCACATGGTCCCAGGTCCAGGGTCCCAGTAAGCACCCTGACTGAGGATGCCAGATGGGCGCAGATCTGGGGAAGCCACAGCAGATGCTAGGGAGATAGAGCCAGCAGTGGCACCGTCAGAGAGACTATAGCCAGAAGGCTAGACAGCAGTGGCAGACAACAAGCAGTGTCTGATGAGATCCTGCTGACTGGGGACCCCTCCCCTAGAAGCTGTGCCCCACCATGCAGCAGGTGGGAGACTGTAGCTTGGATATAGCTGGATCCCCCCACCCCAGGCAGCAGGTGGGAGAGTATAACTGGGAATATAGCTGGATCACACACACACGCGCGCACACACACACACACACACACACAGACACAGGCACATGCGCACACACACACACACACACACACACACACACACAACAGGTGGCAGGAGACCAGGGAGATCGCATGTAGAGTTGTTCTTTGTGGGGCCTGGGAGTCAGGCTAGGTCTGTGAGGCCCACTTACAGGAGCAAGGCTTCCTACAGCCTGGAAGTCCACAGACAACTCAGATAGCACACTTGCCCCTTCCCTCTACACCCCCAAGTCCTGCTCTGAGACCTCCTCTTCCAGAACCTTTCTGGCTTGTGTCTTGGCTTGTTCTCTCTCTCTCCTCTCTTTAAATAATATTTATCTTAAGATACTGTGTACTTGAAACTTGTAACAACGGTACAGAATTCAATTGACAAGCAAAATACAGGCCTCAAGATATGGCTCAGTGGGCAAAGTGCTTGCCTTGCAAGTGCAGGATCATGAGTTTGATGCCCAGCACCCAAGTAAAATGTCAGGCATAGTGACTGAGTGTTTATTACCCCAGCATGAGGGAAGTGGAGACAGGAAGACCCTTAGGACTCTCTAGCCAACCAATCTAGCCTAATTGGTGAGCTCTAGGTCAGTAAGTTGCCATATTTCAAGGAGTGGATCTTGTTCTTGAGTTTGACACCCAAGACTGAACACACACATATACTAGCACATGCACGCACGTGTGCACACATGTACACACACACACACACAAATGCACAAAAAATCAGCTTGGTTGTCCTGTACATATATGAGCAGACTTTTCTTTTGTAAAAAAATAAAAAATAAAAAACCAGACTCAAGCCTCAGCACCAGCAGGCTTGAACTTCAGACCCTGACGTTGCTATCTATTGCTCTCTCATCACTGAGTAGGTTGCTCGCTTCTTTGGGGCTTCAGTTTCCTCCTCTGTAAAGTGGGGGTGACAATAACACCTATCCCATAGTCTTGCTAGGGGTTGAATGCAGAAAAGCACCTAAAGCCCTTAGCAGGAGGCTTGGGGTGTGGGGGAGCCCAGTGAACACCAACACTATGATTATTGCCCTTCCAGACATAAGTCAGCTTCCTGCCCCCGTCTCCTGCATCTCCCTCATTTTGTATCTGGATCCTGACCTTGACCTTGAGATCTTACCTGAGTCTGCAGGGTCTCCTTGGTGTCTCTTCTTGGATGCTGGGCTGTTTGGGAAGATGATGGTAGGTCAGCCCCCAAGTGACTTCAGTGGCAGTCTAAGAAGGAGTTGGGTTAGAGGAGGGGGCTGAAGGAAAGAGAAGGTGAAGCTGTAGATTTACTCAGAACGTGGAAACGTGGCTCCGTGCTTTGAGGCTGTTGCCTGATTCCTGAACCCTAGCAACCCCTGGTGTCATATGAATCATTGTGGTCCCTGAGGAGGCACATTAGTGTGGCTGTCCTAATGCTGCCAGGAGAGATGGGGACCATGCCCAACCCCTCTTCTGTGCAATCGCTAAGGCTTGGGGCAAGGCCCAAGGCTAACATCGCTCATTGAGTTGAGGGTGGCTCACTGTGGGTGCAGATGTAGTCCTAGGGGGTTGGGCATGGAGTAAGGGTTCAGCAGAGGATTCTGGGATTGTAGGAGATGAACAACTACCAGCGGGCCATGCAGAAGATGGCAGAGGACATCCTGGCCCTGAGGAAGCAAACCAACATCCTGGAGGAGGAGAACCGCACGCTGAGGAGTCACCTGACCCAGCAGAGCTTAGAAGAAGAACAGAGCAGGGCTGAAGAGGAGAACCTGGGTGAGCCTTTGGATACCTACTGGGGCCCAGGCTCTGGGCTGAGCTTAGTCTGGGGCTCATATGGCTCTTTGCCAGGGTGGTGGGGAGCTTACTAAAGGTGTGTGTCACACGAGTCCCCTATCCCTCCTGCTCCTCCCTGTAAACACACTTGCACAATCTGCCCAGCTATAGCATCCTGGGAGGGGGGACAGAAAGTACAACCCTGAGTCAAGCCCCAGGGCTGGGGTACGCTTGATTCCATCTGCTTTCAAGCCAGCTTCTTTCCACTCCAGGGGTGTCCATGAAGCAGAGGCTACTGCTGAGTGAACTGGACATAAAGAGGCTGCGAGACAGGGTGCAACACCTGCAGAATGAGCTGATTCGGGTGAGAAAAGGCTTGGTGGCCAGGGTGACAGTGCCACCACCGAACAAAGTCCTGAGAAATGTTCCAAAGCAGAAAGAAAGCACACGGTGGGGAGGGAACCTGGCCAGGGGGAGAGAACCTGGCCGGCTGCGCAGGGTGCGGCAGGATCCCACATGTACCCTTGTGGCCGGGATAACTCCCAGGCACCCGTTTGCTTCCACCCTGCAGAAGAATGATCGAGAGAAGGAGTTGCTGCTTCTGTACCAGGCCCAGCAGCCGCAGGCCGCACAACTGAAGCGGTACCAGGACAAGCTGCAGAAGATGAAGTCCCTGGAGGACACCGTGCGGCACCAGGAGAAGGCAGGTGCTGGGGCTGCCGAGGAGGTGCCGCAGCCTAGAGATTGTGGAGCTCTCGGGCCAGCCCAGCCTTGGTCTCTGTCACCAGGTGATTGAGAAGATGGAGCAGGTACTGGAAGAAAGGCTCCGTGAGAGGAAGGAGTCAGCACCGTCGAGCAGGCCGCAGGGGAAGCCCAACGTGGGTGAGCCTGCTCCCCAAGGTAGATCTCGGAGTAAATGACTTTCCAGCTTGTTGCCCCACCCTGGAGCCCCCTAGCTGCACAAGAACTTGCAGAGAGGGGGCAGTGTTCTGCTGTGTCTGCAAGCAGGAGAGAGACACCCGGGATAGTGTTAGTCCTCTCCTCTCTCAGGTACTGAGAGCTTCCATGGTGATCAGAGTCCTTCTTCTGTCAGGAAATGCCTTGGGACACAAGGATACCGGTGTGAGCCAAGTAGACAGAGATCAGACCTCTAGGGTTGAGGCCCCATGAACCACAGGAGCAGAGAAAGACTTCCCCAGATGGAGGGCCTCCTAGGCCACAGTGCCCAAGTCCTCCGCTTCCTCCCTGCCCCCCCCCCCGACATCCTTTTTATTCTGCCTCCACAAAGCAAAAAGACAAAACCAGTCTGATAGAATCAGTTTATTTTCCCCGTTGGTGGAAACCACAGCTATCCACAACTGTCAATAAAAGATAGCTCTGATAAGCAGGAAAGAATAAAATGACACCATATTAGGTCAGTCATCTCCCTGGCCACGTGGAGAGACTCCCCAAAGTATCTCTGTATGCCTGACTCTGGGTTCAGTCTTCACTGATGACTAGGCACAGGGGGTCTGAAAGTCTTTAGAAAACAATGGACATCTCAGGGCTCCTTAAGTCACCTGGAATGTGGGCTAGCATTTAGGGAGGGCAACAACCAGATCAAAGGACCAGAGTGAGAAAAACAAGTACAAATGAGCTGGGAGGAATGCAGGAAAAATAATAGACTAAGATCCTAAACAGCCTGAGGGACATGGACCTGACTCCACTGGCAAAAGGGAGCCATTGATAGCTTGGGAGCAGAATGGAGCAAGATGCTGGGGCAAATGGGTACACAGAGGCAAGAAAGCCCATGTCACAAGCACCTGTGCCTATGTTCACAGCCTTCCCCATGTTCACCACCTCTGGCATTCACCTGGGCCCCACGGGAGAGAACGTGGCTGTCGATCTTTACTCCATACTGCTGGCCGAAAACACAAGGCTGCGGGCAGAGTTGGAAAAGAACCGCCAGCAACCAGCCCCCATCATCCTGCAGCAGCAGGCCCTGCCGGTAAGAGCTGCCAACACAAACCTGGCTGAAGCCTGCCGGCACTGGTCAGCATGTACCCCACAGTCACCCCCAGCATGAGCCAGGTTAAAGATCCAGCCCAGAATTTGGGCTTCCCAGCACCCAGTGGCACCGGAAACGTTCATTCTCACGCCTCACACTCATTGCGCTCATGTTCCTCAGATGAATGCCTTGCCCTCATCTAGCACCCTGGGAGAGAGCAAGGCCCTAGCTCACCCTTGACCCCTGAACCCTGACTCCACCTACCACCTGGCTTGCTCCCACTTGGACACCCTCCTCCCACCATGGGCCTCTCAGAACCGTCTGGGATCGGAGCAGCCTTGGAGAGCCCTTTTCCCCATCCCAGGTGGATCCCAGGGAGTTGGGAGCAGGTGGAGACTTGGCAGAGAGGCTACGAGACACAAATGGCCCGGGCCACTCCAAATGCACAGAGACCCTGCCAGCACAGGTGGGTGCCCCGGGGGCTACTTCAAGTACCCCTTTGTACACAAACCCAGAGTCAATATTTGAAGCTATGGTGGCAAGAGGGCACAGGTGAGTGTGTTCATCCAGGAAGCGAGTTCTGTTTGGAATGTCCCAAAGCACGAGCAGACAGGTAAAACATGAAAGATGGGCATCTTTGTTTGGCTGAACTTTCATCTACAAAAAGACTCCCAGCTCAACTGGCCTCCTGGTGTTAAAGGGAGTTCATTAGTGCATTTTACATAAGCAGTTGATATGTTAAGATATTAGGTGTGAGCTGGGGGTGTAGCTCAGTGGGTAGAGTACTTGTCTAGCATATATGAAGCCCTGTGTTCAGTCCCTAGCACTACATAAACCTGCACATGCCTGTAATCCCAGCACTCAGGAGATGAGGCAGGAGTACAAGAAGTCAAGGTTATTCTCATTACATAGTGAGTTCAAGGCCAGCCTGGAATCTATGTGATGTCAGAGTCCCTATTCTGAGTGGGAAACAGCATAGGGAACAATGCACACCAAGTCCTATGCTGATCCTAAGGAAGAGGTCCTGGCCCAAGACTGAGGCGCTGTATCTGCCACTGAATTTGAAACCCACACCTGGCTGGGTTTTCCTGCAGCACCTGGGGCTTCCTCAGTCATGGCCTCAGCTCTCATCTGGGGCCTCACGTGAGCGTCTGATCCCACAGGATCTCCTTGGTGGTACTTCAGACAAGTTTAACCTCCTGGCCAAGCTTGAACAAGCTCAGAGTCGGATCTTGTCCCTGGAAAACCAGGTAGGTGAGATCTGGAGTTGATCAGCCTGGAGCAGGCTCACTGTGCAGCCTCTGGCCAAGTGCAATGCTTAGTATACAAGTAGGGTCTAGACCCAATGTACGACTCCATAATTAGGGCCCATTATGTAACCAGGTCAGCCTTAGTCTGTGACCAGAGTGAAGGCCCAGTGTGGATGCAGCTCAGTGTATGGCCTCCACGCAGACTGCTGAGAAGATCTGTGTCTTAGGCTGCCTGGTTGACTCCTCACCTCTGCTACTGCCAGGGCTTTGCCTTTTCCCAGAGGACAAGCCTAGACTCTGTCCTAGCTCTTGGGGAGGAGCTGTGTTGACTGCTGTCTTTCCATTTTTCCCTCTCCACGTCTGCAGCTTGAGGACTCAGCTCGCCACTGGGCACGAGAGAAGCAAAACTTGGCCATACGGCTCCAGGAGCAACAACATGGTTTTGGACACCCGTCAAACTCCATCATCATAGACCAGTCTGTGAGTCGCCCTCACACGGAAGTTCCTGGGTGATAGACTAGGAGCCATCCCAACCCCCAATCATGAGGCCCTGAGAAAAATATCAGAAGTCTAGAGCTGAGGTCCTACCACTAACAAATTGGATAATCAAGTGACCTCCATTCCCCCACTCATCTGAAGGGACAGGAATGCCTGCCAACATGTCGTGTCCCCTTCCCCCATTAGTTATCCTAAACCTCAAGGAGAAGATAACTATGGGTGAGAAATAGCCTACATAGGCATTTCTAGAGCATTCTGGCTCTACTCTGGCATCACACATGGGCAGACTACCTTGTACCTCTTCCTACACAATTTCTAGTGTAATAGATTTCTGTTTGGCTTCCTTCTTAGATGGCATCAATACTGGGGATAGATTCACATTCCCTTCTTCCCAGGAACAAGTAGATCGACCATATCAGTGTCCCCACCCCCACCCCAAGCCCAGCCTTGGAGACTTCACACCCTACAGCAAAAGGTCCTGATTATCCTACATTCAATCTATTAGCACTAGCAGCCAAGGCTCTACCGTCCCTAGACAGAACCTGAGGCCGTCCAGGGAGCATAGCATTACCTCTGCAAACTCATGTAGTCCTAGGGACCCAGAGAAATTAGGCATCATCTGCAGTGATAAAATACCACAACCTGCTGGGTTTGGATCCTCAGAAGCATGACTTGCCATGCAAGATGCCCCAAGGCAGTGTACCTTGGGAATGGGCATATACTTATCTGCCCTATATTGTATGTCACAGAATGCTGGAGTGGCCAAGGATCCCCAACAGTCCTCTAAACTGGAACCCTCACTGCCCAACTCAGACATGAAGTTCAACAGACCCTCAGACTCCAAGATTGAGACCTCTCACCCCCAGAAGACCTGAGCCTGGAGCTGGCCTCCTTTCCCATGTGCTGGGAAGTCATCCCCACCCCAAAGATGTCTTTAGTAAATGCTAGAACTCAATAAGCGTTTGTCTCTTTCCTGGAGTGTGACAGCCGGCAGTGGATCAGCGGCTCTTTTCATACCCAGCTTGGGTCTTAGGCTCTCTGAGGCTGCCTTGTACCTATTGCCTGACCCAGAAAGCCAACACTATGATGATCTGTGGAGAGTGCTGAGGAGACCATGGAGACCAGAAATAAGGTGCCTGAAGCCAAGCTCTGTACAAGACAAGAGAGGGGCCATGTTTCCAATCAATTCCCCAATACCTTTTCATTTCTGGTACCTTTCACTCGGGCTTAGGCCTTCAGAGTGTCCTGGGAACAGAAAGACGGTAAGCCTTCCTATGATACCACTCAGATATCCCGTCATGCCTGGCAGAGTTGATGATATGGTGTACAAATACAGTCAGAGGCAGGAAGTCATGAAGACTGGGGTCCCAGCTAGCTTGGGTTCTGGCCATGAGCATTCTGGATGATTCTAGGTGACTGGAAATCTCTCTGACCTCCACATTCTTCAGCTATCCCATGCAGAACTGTCTGTCTTGGCAAGGAGGCCCTTTGCAGCACTGAAATTTCAGAGTCACTGATGAGAGAAGAGAAAGACAGCATGAAAGACAGAGAGAGACATGGGAGGAGGGTCATGGACTAGGGAGAAGCAAAGGGCTCAAGAGTGGACCCAGAACCTTCAGCCTTGCTAGAAAGCACCAAACCAGCTTGACTGCTGTTTGGAGCTGGCCTGGCCTCCACACCTATCTACAGGACTTAGACTCGGATAGCCAAGGGCTAGCAAGAATCTGGCACCTGCTCATGGCACGATATAGAACCAGAGGGTCTTGATAGATCTGGACAGAGACAGATGTCATATAAACCAAATTCTGAGCTAGACTCCATCCTGTTCTCTTAGAATACACCCCCCTGAAGCAAGAAAACAGACCTGTGTCGTGCCCACAGGACGGGCAGCAGAGGGTGGGGAGCCTGTTGGCCTTCTGTTGTCAGGCCCCATCACCTCACTTCAGCCTCTTAGTGGCGTGATGTTTTACCACATGCAGCTCCACCCAGGATGATAGGGATTACTAACATCTCCCTGGCCACCCTGTCTCCACAGCAGAGCTCCCTGGGTCTGTTGATAACTGCTGGCCTGATGGTACTAGCCTCTCCTGACATATCTCATTTAGATCCCTTAGTGATCTTAGAGTAGATTCTGCTAACTCCTGAACTGATGGTGGGGGTGGGGGGGTCACATTTGGGCTACACAGCAGCTTCCCATCTTCCTAAATGCCGCTCATCCCACTGTTGACCAGGGATCAGGGTTCATCTCCGAGGGGTAATGAATGTCTTAGAGATCTTGTAGGAATAAAACCACTCCGCAGAGTTCATCTGTTTATTAACTTTCTGGGTAAGTAAAGGAGGAGAGTGATAAGCCAGCTAACCTAGGCAGGTGGCCCCTGAGAGCTCAGAACCATCCAAAAGGAGCAGGTGTTTCTAGAGACAGAGACACCGCCCCATGTGACTCCAGCCTGCAGTTCAGACAGTGCCACCCTGTGTGATCATGGTTGTGCCCATGTCCTTCTTGAGAGGCTGGAAGTTGAAGAAGATGGGCTTCTCGGGCAACAGGAGAAGGCCAAACTTGGTCCCCACATCAGAGAGATTTTGAACTTCAATTCTGAAGTTCTCCAGCACCTGAAGAAGAGGAGGTAGGCTTAAGGAATGGAAAGGAGGATTTGTCTCCCCTAGGTCACACCCACTTGACCTCTGTAGGCACAGGGTTGTTATGTTTAGTATGAGGTAAAGAACACGCCTCAAATTATTCACTCTCGCCATGTCTAAACGGGTCCTGCATGTCTGTTCCATGACTTTACCTTTGACCTTAACTAATCTGTTGAGCAATGTCTCCCACTTCACCTCCTGGGAGTGGGCAGATAGATGCTCAGGGGACATCAATGGATAGGTAAGAAGTAGGTTAGTCCAAATGAGGAGGCAGCTGGGAGTTGGGGTAGATTGGTGAGCCCTGAGGCTGCACTCCCTGGATTCTGAGATGGAAGGAGGAATGTTGATAACTTCGCTGGGGCCATGGGAATCCCAGGGTGCTGCCATGTCCCAGAGCCCCACTCACATTGATGAGGAGGACGGTCATCTCCAGCTCCGCAATCCGCCGGCCCACGCACTGTCGAATACCCCAGCCAAAGCCCAAGTACTTGAAGTGGGTGCTATTTTTGCTTTTTTCCAACCAGCGAGTTGGGTCAAACTTGTCTGGGTTGGAGAAGTAGCTGGGTTCTTGGCCCATGGCATAGATAGCCGCCTGCACCAATGTCTAAGAGCAAGGTAACAAAGTCTGAGTGGTTCCAGCTCCCCACCATTCTGAGTTCCCCAGCTTCCTTGGGACCCTACTTCCAAGTCTAGCTTCCCAGCTATCCAAGACATGGCAGGGCCTTCTGCCCACTGTGTAGCTTCAAACAAGACTTCTACCCCTCTGTGAACCTTGATGAAGGCTGAAGACACAAAGCTAAGGAAGAACCCATGGGGTTTTCCTATGCTGTTCTCAACCCTTGCCATACCTCAACCCAGAAATACCAGCTAGATTAGCCTTGTAGCCCTGAACCAGAATTCATTACCCACCATGCCCACTGCCACTACTGTTCATGCAAACTGAGATTACCGCATCTGAGTGCCCCACCAGTGCCCTAGCATCAGGAAGAAAGGCCCAGAGAGAAGCCCCCATCACCACCATCTACCTAGAATTGAAACCTGCTCCCTCCTCTCTTTCATGTGACTAGTCCTGAGTCCTACCTTGGCAGGAATCTTGTAATTCTGAAGTACCACGTCATTCGCAAGATACCTCTGCAAGGTCACGGAGATGGGGTGGATCCTGCAGAAAGAGGACCCTCAGAGATAGATGGCCTCAGATCCTGAAACAGGGATGTATCCCCTACCCTGACTCCCACACCAACCTAGCATTTCAGCCCTCCAACTACAGGGAGAAGCTAAGGCAGGACCTGGTTCTAGTTCTCACTCCCCAGTCCTATTCACCCCTTCCGCACTTCTCCCTTCCTATTTCTACTCTCCTCCACTAGCCCATCCCTAGAACCCTTCCACAGGGACTTGGGGATGGGGAGACACGGGTATGCTAGACTTGCCTCAGGGTCTCCTTGATGCTGGCTTTTAGAAGTGGGACCAACTGTATCATCTTGACCATATCTCCCTGGGCCTGGCGCCGGGCAGCCAGAACCTCTGCCCGCAGCATCTCCTGTACTTTCAAGTTGTGTGCCATCTCGTAAAGGTTCCACAGCAGGGTCATGGATGTCTGGTAGAAATACAAAGATTGCAAAAGCCAGGAAGACCCGTCACTTCAAGGTGACACAGCATCTATGCCCTACCTTAAAGAACTTCCCTGTCTTCTACTCTCAACCCCCCATATTCAAGACCAGTTACAAAACCTTTGAAAGGCCAACATTTAAGGGTTTTTTTTGGTGTCCAGGTAGGGAGCTTGTGATGGAGTGCTTGCCTAACATGCTCAAGGTCTGGAGTTCATTTTCCCAGCACCATATTGTGGCGGGGCGTGATCCATCGATAATTAACCAGGCCAACTCAATACAAGAAGATTTAGCATTTAATAAAAGGGGAAAACTTACACGACCAGAGATCCCACGAACACCAGACGAGCAGGGAACCAAAAAGAGGAAGTGACAAGGCACTTCGATCTTTTATTTGTTTTGTGTGGCCTCAGGGGGACACACCTTAAGCAGAATGTGATTGGCTGAGATTTCCCCATCACCATATAAACTGGGTGCGTTGGTACATTTGGGAGGAAGGATGTCATCCTCAGTTACACAAGTTCAAGGCCAGCCTGGGCTACCTGATACACTGTCTCAAAAATAGTTAATGCCAAGGGATGGATATTCAGAGCAGGATTTACCTCTCCCTTCATCCTGTGTGAACCCAGCTCTCTTTCATCTCCTAACCAACAGAACGTCAGCTACACAGCCAATGTCCTCTTCCAGAAGGCTCCAGAGGCTTCCAGAAACCACATTTATACTTCTGTAAGGCTTGTCTACCCATGTCAAGGACACAGTGGCACAGGCCTTTAATCCCAACACTCGAGAGGCAGAGCAGGCAGATCTCTGAGTTCAAGGCTAGCCTGGTCTACAGAGTGAGTTCCAGGACAGCCAGGGCTACACAGAAAAATCCTATCTCAAAAAGTAAAATGCAATAAAACAAAACAAAAGAAATTTATCCACCGAAATGACTGTCATTCCTTTGGTGTCACTGAGAGACAACGGAGTCTCAGCATTCACTCCAGCAACAGAAAACAAGACTCAACCATCTGGAAGCCAGACCACAGATCTGTTCTCCATCTTTGCTGCAGTTGGTGCAAAAGACGTACTGAGCTTCACAATGTAACCTCAACAAGAAGCAGAGGCTGCAGCCTCTTCCACTGGGGGCATCAGTGACCATGCTCAAGACCCCTATTCTCAGACTCACCCAGGTCAGCAGACTAAGCAGACAGAGGCCTCAACCTGGACCACACTCCCTCCTGGTGCAGAGGACATGGATTGTAGACACATTGTCAAGGATCGCATTTCTATCCAAGAGATTTTAATACATACACCTCTATCTTCCCAACAGAGACAAAAGTGGAAACAATGTCAAGTTACTTCTTGGCTTTAAGTCCTGACTCCTCAGAGCCTGCAAACGAAGTGTGGAGGCTCCATAGACACCTGCCTGCTGCCACCCTAGCATCTCTCCTATGACCTCTCCAACACATGGCCAGTGCCCTAGCTACAGATGCTGTAGACACTGAGGAGTCTTCCCCAAGGCCGTTCCTAGAATTCCTTATCTACCCGGAAAGCAAATAAATTCCTTGAAAACACTGACCACACGTGTGTTTGTCTCAGAGCCTCCAAGGCCAGCTACAGAGTAGATACCCAGGATAGTTGGCAAACAAGGTAGTTCATTCTGCTCTGCTAACCGTGTACCTCAGCCAAGCTGTTTAACCTCTCTGTACCACTGTTCCCCTATAAAGAAAAAGACCTCACAGTGTCACAGGGCCTTGGTATCTGTTGCGAAACAGGACATGGGATAAAAGGTTGGTATCTTTCAAGGGCGCAGAGTGGTGAATCCACCCGGAATCTGGCCCTCACTGTCTCCATCCACATCACTGTCTTTTTGCAGCCTTCAACTCTGGGTCAGATTCTTGCTCAACTCTGTTCTAAAAACATCATCTGATCACTCAAAGAACATCTGTAAAAGCTGGTACACAAGGTTGATTGGTCTTTGTTGGCCTGTGCTGTCTCTTCTCTTTGAGGCTGAAGACATCAAAATAAGAATAATTTAGATGGTGTGGAGATGTCAAGAATGGAACTTTGCAAGCAGATCACTTCATGATAGGGCTGTCCTACCCCAATTACAGTTGGAATCAAAACTGCCTCCCTGAGAGGAATCTCACGATCAACACTGAACGCCACCCCCACAAACAATTCCTTCCGACTCTCCTAGTGGTCAGTAGCTGTGCATCCCTCTGTCATCTAGCCATGTGACATATGACAGTCATGTTATCACCCTTCCTCCAGCCGCAAATACGCATGTCTTCAGCCAAACTATTAATATCTCATAAGTAACTGCATTTGGATATGCCCTTGAAGGAGACTATGGGGTAAAGGGGAGACGTGGGTGTGGGCTCTAGCCTGGCACTGATGTCTTAAGAAGAGGAAGAAGTCAAGACAGAAGTCATGAGGGATGCCCACAAGTAGACACAGGGGAGATGGCCATGGTCAAGCCTCGGAATGAACCAGTCCTGCCCGCACCTTGATAAGGCTTATAGCTTCAAGCAGTGAGAAAATATGTCCATTGTCAAAGCCACTCATCTACACTGTTCTGTTAACATGGCTTAAGCTCCCAAGACTAACAGTCTCCTGTCTCTGGGCTGAGAACACTAATTCCAGCCCTTGGGAGCCCAAAGCAGACCCTGATGTGAGTTCAGGGTCAGCCTGACCTATAGAGTGAATTCCAGGCCCACTTACTCTACAGTGAGACCTTATCTGAAACAGCAATGACGAAAACCATAAAGGGTTTGGAAATGCAGCTCAGTTGGCAGAATGCTTGCCTGCCATGTGAGAAGCCCTGGGTTTGGTCTCAGCACTGCATAAAATCAAATGTGGGGCAGGAGAGATGACCCCACAGCTAAGAGGATTCAAAGTTTGGCAACCCTAGGGTGGCTTACAACTGCAATGCCAGTTCAAAGGGATCTGACATCACCTTCTGTCCTCCCCAGGCACCAGGCACTCACTTGGTGCAGATATATATGCAGGCAAAACACTCATACACGTAAAAAATAATGTCTTAACTAATTGAACATGGTAATAGCAGTCCTGTAATCCCCAAATTCAGGAAGTGGGGGCAGAAGGATCAAGAGTTCAAGGTCAACCTTGCCTACATAGTGTGTTCAAAGCCACCCTGGGCTACAGAAACCCCCATCTCAAAAACAACCAAAGTTCTATGCAGAGACTGAACCTGCTATTCCTTCTTTGTCACGGATGAGTCAGTCTCAGATCCTGCCCTATGGGTGAAAAGTGTTTGATTCCTGGTGTGGGAGGTCCTTCTGTCTATGTGTTGATTTATTGGTTAATGAATAAATCTGTTTTGGTCAGTGGCTTAGCAGAATAGAGCTAGGTAGGACAACTAAACTGGATGCAGGGAGAAAGTAGGCAGAGTCAGGGAGAAGCCCTGTAGCCCTGCCGGAGATAGACACCAGACAGAACTTTACCTGGTAAGCCACAGCCACGTGACGATTCACAGATTAATGGAGATGGGTGAATTTAAGATATAAGAATTAGCCAGAAATACGCTTAAGCTATTTTTACAATAAACAATATTGTAAATAATATGGCTTCTGAGTGATTATTTCAGGTCTGGACAGTCAGGAACAAACAAGCGGCCTCCCCAAACAGGTTCATGGCAGGACTTTAACATTACCCTTCTAAAAGACTACCATTTAGGACCTGGCACCAAGAGAGAGAAGCATATCATGCAAATGTGCCCAACCCCTCGTATTAACAGCAGTGCTTCTGACAAGGCAGCTGGGGGGGAAGGGAGCATGTGGGCACCAAGGAGGCCCATGCCAGGCCCCACAGCACTCACCGTGTCCACTCCTCCTGCCAGCAACTCCGTAATGTTGGCCTGGATGTTCTTGAAGGGCATCTTGTTACCACTCAGGAGGCTATAGAGGACACCAGGGTACTGGCTGAAGTCTTGCTTGTGCCGTAAGCTCCAGTAGAAGTTCTGGATGTATTCATCAGCTGTGGAGCAGGAGGAGGAACAGAGTGAGGTTCCCTGTAGGTGGGAGGGTGGGAGGGTGCCAGTGGCTTCATAGTCCAGACCATCATACCGGCGGGCAGCCATTTTACTAAGCCTCCATTGTTGTACTAACCCCTCCAATTCTGTTTTGTCATTTAATTCCTTCCTTTAATTTTTTTCACTTTATGTGTATTAATGTTTTGCCTGCATGGATGTCTGTGCACCATGTGTGTGCCATGTCCGTGAAGGCCAAGGAGGGTGCTGGATCCCTGGGACTGGAGTCACACACAGTTATAGGCTACCATGTAGATTAGGAATTGAACCAGAGTCCTTTGGAAGGGCAGCCAGCACTCTTAACAACCAAGTCAGTTCTCCATTTAATTCTTGATCTTCCCCATTGTGTGTGTGTGTGTGTGTGTGTGTGTGTGTGTGAGAGAGAGAGAGAGAGAGAGAGAGAGAGAGAGAGAGAGACCATGTGTTCAGGTTCACATACATATGTAGAGGTGTAGAGGTACCCTCAAGGACCATCCACCTTGTTTCTTTGATGTGGGGTCTCATTGGCCTGGAATTCACCAAGTGTCTAGGGTAGCTGGCCAATGAACCCCAGGAACCCACATGTCTCAGTCTCCCAGCACTGGGAGCTGTGGTACAATCAAGCATTACTATGAATTAATATGAGTCCTGGGAATTGAACTCAGGTCTTCACACTTGCAAGCAAGCACTTTACTGACTGGGCAGAGTTGGTTGATTGCCAAAGCTTATGTAGGGACTGATGGCCAAGGTGACATTTGATTTCCCCACACCCCAGGCAGTTTTATCCATCAACCTTCCCCTCTCAACAGGCCCTAGCTCTCCCTGCAAGTCTTCTGCCACTCAGACAACCATGGCGCAGACACCAGCCCTCAACTCTATAGATAATGAGCAACTTTTTCTTAAATGAAGTGTACATGTGTATTTATCGTGTGTGTGTGGGGGGGTGGGTGGGTGGGTGCCTGTGAAGGACAGAAAAGCCCATCAAATCCCCTGGAGCTAGAGTTACAGGAAGTTGTGAGCCTTCTAATATGAGTCCTAGAATTCAAACTCTCTAAGACCAGTAAGTGTCCTTAACTGCTGAGCCATGTCTCCAGCCCCTAGTCATGAGACCTGTTAAGAAACACCATGGACATTTTTACTCCCCCTTCTCCAGGAAAAAAAAACCCTCCAATAATCAGCCTTCAGACCTGACACTCATCCCTGCTCACCAGAGGTTTCCTCAATGGTAAATTAGCACCCATTGACCAATCTTGATACAAAGAGGCATCCTGAAGCCAGGGATTCAGCTAGATGCACTCTCGGTTCGGTGACCCCACTTCCTGATTATTGCCAGAGGAGTCCTCACCTTTATCAAAAATCACATCCCAGGCAGCCGCATGGTCCTTCCAGACCTTAGCTCTGAAGAATCGAAAGAGTTCTGGAGGCAGGATGAGCATGGGGACACTAGTGTGGAACATCTGGTAGACAGCATCGATGAACCGCTGGGATTCAGGGTCCACGATCTCCTCCAACATCCCCAGGCGCTCCCCAAAGATGACACTGGTGATGGCTGCAGTGGGAGGCAGAGGCTGAAGACCCCCTTCCAACCTGGCTAGATGAGAACCTCAGCTCCCAGAATTATCTCCACCCACGCCCATCACATGCAGGAGCTCTCCCTCAACCTTAGCTTCCTCCAACGAAGAAACTGAGACCTGAACCCCGAAGGATGAAAGAAGGCACTCAGGTCCCTCATTGGGAGGCCCTGAAAAGGATGCTTTTGTGGGAAGCATGTACAGGACGAACTGAGCCAGGACAAACTGTCCAAGAGGGATTTCCCCTTGTAATTGACCGAATTCACTATGTCACACATGAGCTGAGATATCAGTCTGAGTTACCCAGGACTCAATCTAGTTAGAGCTAAAAGGTCACAACCACCTTCAAATTTTCTCACCTACCACATGAAGAATTTGAATGCCAACTTCATTCCATGCCCAGGATACCCCAAATCTCCTACAGGCCTCACATGACCTCCACTAAGCCACATGCATGCACTGTTCCCTGGTCTAAGCTGCCTGACTACCTTACCCAGTCCAAATAGCTTCTAGGTGTCTTTCCACACCCAGCTCAGATCAACCATGAAGGCCTCCTCCATCCTGCTCAACTTCAGAGGACCGTTTCTAGAAGGAGGAGACTAGCAGCATGAAGGACCAGGCCAAGTTCTGGCTTTTGGAGGATGGTGGCAGGGAAGATCTATGTTTGGGGGACCCCCACAATATGAATGTCAGACGAGAGGAACCTGGCTACCTCCTGGGTGACAGAGAGTAGAGCATATTCAAGAAGCCAATCAATAAAACTGCAGGCTGGCTCCCCGGCCCCAACTCCCTCCAGCCAAGTGCAAGACCCTTACCCTCAAAGGAAAAGCGGAACAGGTCTTCACTGATGTCCCCTGAAAATTTTCCAGAGTTCTGCTCCTTGACGCGCCTGTGCAAGACCTTGATGAAGTCATGAGCTACACCTTCAATCAGGGGCACGAAGTTCTTGATGGTGTCACGGGACATCACCTCCTGGTTTAGGAGAATTCGATCTTTCTTCCAAGCTTCTGACTTCCTGGGGAAACACACGTCCACCTCATGGTCACAGAGCCCAGGCCTGGCAGAGGCACTGGATGGGCTCTCTGGTTTTCAGAGCCTGCACCATCACTGTCTCCCCCCCCCCAACATTCACTGTTGTCTCCTGCTCCCTCCCTGCCCTCCCTGGCCTAGGAGAGGAGAATGGAAGAGAGCTGGCAATGGAGAACAAAAGCCTGACTGCCTTCCACACTGCTGGCTGCCGCCACCGCCACCATCACCACCGCCAAGAACCGGAAACGCTTATTTCCCTTTAAGTAACTCTGAGCTGACCCCCTCTAAGCCCATCTTCCATGCATTCCTCTGCCTTCTGATCCTTATACAACCTTGCCATTGAAGAACCTTCTCGTTCATCTTTCTCATTCCCATACAGGTGAAGCCAACTGACCTTTTCTCCCCCAAAGTATCTGAGAATTCACTACGATGGGAACCCCAGCTACTCAGAATCACTTATGAAAACCTTGAGATTAGGATCTGTGCAGGTAAAGGTGTTTCGCACTAAACCTGAAGATCTGAGCTCAAGTCCTGGGACCCACATGGTGTAAGAAGAGACATGATTCCCACAACATATTTAGACTACCACACATATGCATTGGTGTACATGTGTCCACACACATACACATGTATGTACACACATAAATATAATTTTATTTAAATATTCAATTCATGACACACATAAAAAAATCAACCTATGCAAAACTCATTCCCTAATTTGGGAGTTTGTTTGACTAAGATTGTTGTTGTGAGCTGCCAACATGGCTTATGGCTCTAGCTCTTATTCGGTTCCCAGCACTCCTGTAGGGCAACTCACAACCATGTACAATAACTCCCGAGGACCCAGTGTCCTCTTCTAGCCTTCAGGGGCACCTGTATACGCATGGCATGCACTCACCCAGACATACACACACATACATAGATTTTAAAAAAAACAATAAGAACTTTTTAAAGAGAAGTTTAGAGTTTGGGGCAAAGAATGTTGTAAACTCATGGCCCAGCCTACCTTGTCCTCCCATGGACGCCTTCGCCACTTGGAGAGCTCCCTAGCCTGAGTCCCCACCCCCTTTTTTGTGTATGGTTTTACTGAATCTAAATATATTCCTAAAAGATACTTAAAAAGTGTACAATTATTTCCAGATTTTTAAAACACCTGTCAGACTTGGGGGCACTTGCCTTCTGTACTCAGTTTTACGTTTCGGGAGAGTTCTGTTGTGGACCCAGTCCATACACGGTGACTGGTACATGCTACCTTTCTCTTGTCTACCATCCTCTCAAACAGCTAGGAGGCTTCCTGGTTTTTCTGTGCTTTCTAATGTTTTCTCACAGGAGAAACATTCTAGTCCATGTCTCCTGGGGGAACCACTCTGTGGCATATGTCTCTAAAGTTAGAACCACTGCATAGATCACAGTCATCGAGTCCCTGGTAATAGTCAGTCTCAGGAGGTAAGATTCAAGCACTGTCCACACAGAGACCTGGTTTCTGTTCCCACCATAGCTGACGAGAGAAACAGCTACTCCAGAGAGCTCCAGCTCCTCCAAGGCCTTGCCAGCCCTTGATCAAGTCACATTTAAATTTTTCAGTGATGATTGGTGTGGTGGTACATGTCTTTCATCTTAAAGGAAAGCAGAGGTAGGCTGATGTCTGTGAGTTGAGGCCAACCTGGTCTACATAGCAACTTGTAGGAAGTTTTAGGCTCTATAGAGAAAATGTGTGTGTGCATAATATGCATATATATA